CCAACGAAGGTATGTCTTACTTGGATTTCAACCTGTATGACTAGAAAAATGACTATGAAAATAAAACAAAATGGAAAACGAGAATCAGGCTCCCTAAGAAGACAAAATTACACAGGTAAGAAGTAAGGAAAATATTCCAATACGTTACGTGTTTCTCCCTACATTTCTTTCGTGCTCCAGCCCCTTTTTGCGTGCTTTACAACAGAACAGAGCACAGACGAGGGTTCTCTTATTTGCCAGGTAATAAGTCTCAATTAACTGAACGTGTCTTTATGAGCTCGCAATGGCTCTATCCAGGCGCCAATTAATGAATGAAAGCGCGTGGGGCGGACACCTGCAAGTGGACTTGTTTGTTTGTTTGTGTTTCTCCGCTTGCTAAAGTCTCACCCCTCGCGTTTTCTTATTAACGCTCGCCTCGTACTTTCCTCTGTCGCCTTAAAAACACAAAATATTGGCGCCTGTTCCACATGTTAATGCGCTGTCTTAGAAAAGGCAACTAAATGATTGGATTTATCTTAAACTGGTCCTTGGTTCGGGCGGTAAATTGCTCTTTCTAGGGTTGACTAAGAACTTTGAACAACCTTTCAAATAGGAAAGATGGTAAATAGTGAACTCGGCAAAGTGATAGAGGAAATATTCACACGTCCTGTCTCTGTCTTATTCTGGTCACACTTATGACACTTTCGATATTCGTTTACTTAGGCTGTATGCAGGACACATGTCACTCGTGGACCTTGTAATGGTGTAGCTTATTCTATTTTCTCTGTGGCTCAGTGGTAGAACATCAGAGCGCGAAATCTGCAGGTTTTACGTTGAATTCCCCATGGGAGCTAAGATGCTTTTATTTGTCCCACGCTCCCCCGCAACCTTTCAAATATATTTTATCATTATTTTTCTGTACCTATCATTATAATTATTAACTATTAGAACTACTGAAGCTCATGTTGTTCTCCTAGGGTGATAGAATGACAGCCTATTCAATTTCTTTTGAGCACTTTTCATCTTGCTTTCCTTCATGGGAAAATAACAATGGTTTCATTTCTTCTACGTTTTTTTCTTTCCCTTGTGAATAATACAGCGAGTAATTATCATCTTTGCGTTCTTTTTGTTAAGCTCCCTTCGTTAAAGGAATTATTTATTCAAACAATTATTCATTTATTTACGCAATTTCAAAATGAGGCCTTAAATATTTCATTATTCATAACAGAAATCTACTGCTTTCAATTATATCAGTCTTTCAAATTAAGAGTAATTTCCTGATCACATAGTAATTCCTAAAATTTAGTAGCTGTGAATTTGTTCATCTTGTCACATGCCAATCCGTCACTAACAATGCTCTTCAATTTAGTTTGTTTTTTAATTAGCTGGATGAGCGTGCACAGAACTCCGCGCCAAATCTGTGACGTAGCAGCCGATTATTGGCTGCAGTTGTTTATCCACATTCATGAGAAGTAGTAGAATTTTCAGCAAACCACGCTGTCCGTCGTGGAGTAAAGATGTGCTGTTCGTTGTGCTAAAAATAACGTTCCACCCTGAAAGGAAGAAGACACTGGACCTGTAAAAAAGCAACGAAACCACTCTTACGTCATTAAATAGCAGGTAAGCATTGTCTTTGGGAAATATCGCTTTAAACTCCTTCAGAGTTCTAAAAGAGTCGTATTATCTCAGTTCAACGACGTAGCATAAATCCGTTGCTCGGCCTAAACGGCTATTCAACTCGAATTTAGACTGAATTAGGGTATCGACTTTGAGAAAAGCAGGACTTTTGGCTGTAAAATATTTTCAGCGAAGCGCTAAAATTAAAATGTTTTGCTCGCTAAATCAATTGGGGACTTCATTTTGTATTAGAATGCAGCCACGAGGAGGTCTTCAGTGGTCTTTGCTTCATTGTAATTAAAATTTAAAAATTTCTCATGCTCTCCCTTTTTCTATAGTTTTGACAAAGAGCGAAAGATTTATACAGACTTTTCATTTTTCAGTTTTCTTCCGACTCATGGAAAGTAAACATTCCCTAATCAAATTCATATTTTCTACTTTCAGGAGGAACACTGTTATAGAAGAAATTTTCTGGTCATGAGAAGACATTCCAATCACTGACGTCTTAGTGGATACTGCGAAGATAAGAACTTAAAAATTATTTAGAAATACCAGCAAAAATGGTGACCCCTCAGATGTCTAATTGTTATACGAAGTCTTCGTTCTCTCGCTAGTTGTAATGAAACGGAAAAAAGTGATTACATGGTAAGTGATAGTCCTCAATTAGCCACCATTTTTGGAATAGTTTCTTACGTTACAGATTGTTATGCAGACTCTGAGCGATCATTTTATTTATTTGAACAACTATCTATAATTTAGTGTAATTTAACTCAGATAATGTCGTTGCATCGTGCATCGAAATAAAGATCGAAGCAATTGGAAACTGAAATCTTGACTACGGAATGTTGACTCTTAAATTAAAGATTTCGAAGCTCTGATCGCTCATTTTTTCGGTTTGTGTAGCAATTAGTATCACAGTTATATCTTAGTTAATGTTACACAAAGGTGATATTAAGGTGGCACTGTAACAGAATACTTCAGCCGAACAAAAACCAAATGAAATCTCAAAGTGAAGACTTTTGACGACTTTGACTAATTTTTCGTATTTTGTAATGTCTTCAAAGATTGACTTTGAAAAGTTAGTTTACAAACTTACAGAAGAGTCCTCACAACAAATGAATATAATCATCGACACCACACAAACGACTTAAAAAAAAAAAGACTTAAAAAAAAGACCGACAGTCACCAACAGACCAAACAGGACAAACTAACCTGAACGACTGGTCAAAACCGACCAATCAACGGACGATGGCCATTTGAGTCTGGCAGCCACTTAACTGCAAAACTAACCATTCAGTTTAACAAATCAAAGTTGTGATGTTCGTTTTATGAAAAATTGTTCACTCGACTCTGATTAATTCTACTAACGCCAGTCAGTAGTTTTGACAAAACGCCATTTCGTACTTCACGATTGACAACTGAATGATACAACGAGAAAAAGTTGGCCAAAGACACGTCGATTGAATTGAAAATTTATTCTCGGCATGAATTTTGTTTAACAAACAGTAACAGTATCAATTCACTAATTTCCAATAGAATTATTGGTACATTCGGCGAACAATAGCAAATAAACGGCGAACATTTCGAATTGAGTACGAAAATCTACGATTTCCGAAATGGTCGCCATGTTGTGACGTCATGTGGTTGTCAAATTAGATAACCATCCCGACCCTGTCAAAATGGAAATTTATGACATTTTCAAAAAAGAATTTTTTTTCATACACGAAGCACGAGTCTATTGCAGTGCCATCTTATATCATATCCTTTACTTTGTGCTATTAACTGGGTTCGGTTTGCCTTTGGAAGTAATGCATGCTTTAAAACTCTTATGCCTGGTCAACAGCTGTTTCTTTACTTTTTCATAAACTAGTTTTGATTGACTCCTTTTTACGACGAAGAGATAGAATTTCGTATTTCGGGAAGATTGGATAGAAATCAAGATAGTAAATTGTTTCACAAATCATTGACATATAATTTATACGAAAATCAACGTGAACATATACAACCAATCTTTTGACCAGTAAACAATAAACAGATCTATTGGCGAAGATTTGCTTTGAAATCAGAAACGCAAATCAAACAAAATTTGAGAATTTGAAGAATTTGAAGAATTTGATAGTTAACCAAATCAAAATGGTTGTCGTGTTTTCTTGTTGAATACTTTCAGATATTGATGACGAGATTCATGGAAATTTAAGAAATATTTGCTTATTTAAAATTCACATTTATACCCCAAGCACGTTGACTTCACGAAACCTACGCGCTAAGCAAAAATGCAAATTAGCTATATTCAATTTAAAGTTTATAGAAAATAAATTAAATGATTGTGTTTTCGCTTCGAAAAGTTATAATTTTTTTTAATTCCTTATTGCGATGGTTATAGTTTTTGTCATTTATACAAAATTTTTTATCTTTTACGAAATTCCTAAGTAGTCCATAGAACTTGTAAATTAAGTCGTATTCGAAAAAGGTAACTTGTCACCCTTTGACCAGGCATTCAGTTTTAAAATATATCGAGGTTAGTTTATTTACTCTTAATTGTAAGTGGAAGGAAGATCTTTTGTGCAGTCAATCGGTGTAACACAGGAAAATATAAAAAAAAATGTTAACAAAACTATGAAATTCCGATCCTCAATTTTAGTTTATAACTACAATAAAACAAATTGAACGCGTTTGCTGACTTGACCTCTAGGAACAATTCGCAGCAAGATTTCATTGTAAATAAATCGGAGCATATTTGTCTATGTCATTACCCCTTTGTGACTTAAAATGAACTCAGTCTGCTCGCAAAATCTTTGATAGACATTTTTGGTGCTTATCCTACATGCGTTCTGTGTTACATTCGAAAACTGGCGGCTTTAAAGATCTTTTACTCCGTAAAAACATCGATATCGTGGCAAGCCATGAGCTTACAAAAAATGATTGCATTCAAAAACACACTTTGAATTAGAATTTTATCATAATTAATACTTTTTATCAGACAGACGCTCGGCTTGCCATGATGCTTTTTCGTAAGAAACTTCCACATATTATTTCGTGCAAAGAATTGAAGTCTTACCAAAAGAAACAAGCTAAGAAATTGAGGAGTAAAAATTGTTCTTGACTGTTTCGATATTTGTTAAGAGCGAAGGAGAATTGGTGTTTATTATTCCAATTTTTTTGCATGAGATGTAACAACTGATAATTTTTATCGGTAATTTTTGAAGAAAGCCCTATTTAAATTTTTTCCGGACAAGTTGCCAGGGGAAACTCTGTGCAAATTGGTCCAAATTTTCCCGCCAAAAGTCTTAGTATATATACGGAAAAATTTTGTGACACTTTTAGTTGAAAATTAACTTATGATCAAGAAATATTAAAAACAAACTGTTGTAGCTTGTTGAATGATTGTTAAGAGACAATAAAAGTTAACATAAAAACTGGTCAATTTATTTAGTAGATGATAAGACAATACAACAAGTAAACAAAATTAAGTTTATTAACAGCTAATTTCTTTTTTTTTAAATCGGCGCATGCGTATTTTGAGCACCGTATTTTTCTAAGTCTTTTGGCGGGAAAATTCGCCACACTTAAACAGTTGTTACTTACAGAGTAAATAAAGAAAATATTGGCGAGTGTGTACCTAAAGCACCAGTATTGTTCTAAGTTTTTCGGCGTGAAAATTTCTCATTTTACACCGCCCTTTACATTGATTCAACCGAAAACCTGTGATTTTCAACTATCCAGTCCTTGATTTTGGTGCTTGAATTTAAGCTCTGACACGAAATGTTGTCGAAGGAAATGCGCTGCATCTGTTTTATACCTCTGAATAAATCTCGTCTTTCACTTGGACCATAGTCTTTCTTTCTTGTTTAATTCGAGCTTGAAGCATCTGGGATTTCTAATCTTTCAGTCTGAAAAAAAAAATCAAAATAAACCATAGATTAAAAAACGCAATAGATTTTCACTCTCAAGCGATAGTAGTTCAGGGTTGGTTTGTGGCAGAAAAACGTATTTTGTAACGCTAAACAAGTAAAATTAAAAGTAATTATTTAAATCTATAACTCTTGTATAAACACAAATTAGCCTAAACATAACCTGGATTTAACGATAAATTTGATACGGTCATTGATGAACATTTTAATAAACACGAAAAATTTTGTTGTAGCTGTTTGCGTCGAAATAGCTTCGAGTTAGATTTTATTTTTTTAGCTTTTCGCCGTTTGATTTCAGGAATCAAGCTATTTAATTTTAGGCTGAAAGTTTATAATTTCAGGCAACAACAAGAAAATAATCTAAAAACTCGCTAGTAATCCCTCTGAGATCTCAAAAGAATTCACGTGTAATAACTGCTTAAATTAACTTTTTCCTTGCATAATATATATCTCTGATCATTTGCAGAGTGTCTATTTTAATGAAATACTATCCTGTTGTTCAAATTTTCAACGAAAAAGCCATCAAAGTAACAGAATGTAATCAGAATATTCTTACAAACTCCTGTTCGCACCCAATTCTAGTGACAGGAGCATGTTAATGTAAATCCTGGTGCGCGAGATCGAGAATTCGTTAGAGCCGGTGAACATACGAACAATTAGCAATTAAAATGGCTGAGAGTTACTTTTGTCAAGATGGAAAACTGTAAATTTGGATTAAGTTTGCAGTAAATTCTTTATAGTTTCTGAGCTTTGGTGAACAAGTGTAATCCAAAAATGTTTCGCAACGTTTAAACTTTCCTATCAGTTTTTTTTTTCTCATGATGCTTTTTCAAAATAAAATAACTTTAAGCCGGCAAAATTGACCCAGATCTAACACAGGAACAATCTTAAAAACACGCAAAGAGTTTACAATTAACATGTGTACACTACAAGGGAATCTTTTACTTTTACGAGAAATGGTACGTTCCTTTTTCTTAACTAAAATAGCTGACTAAGTTCCCGATGTTCCCTTGTAAAAAATTAAAAGCAAGTTTGAGATTTGTGAACGAAACCCGCGAACAAATCGATATATATCAAATTTTGGAGCATGCTATTTCAATTTGTTTTCAGCCTCAGTGAGGTTCTTAATTTGGTTTAACCGTCAGCCGTCCGGTGGCCTTAAATTTTTGTGTCAGGCGTCAAAAATGCAAACCGATACTAACCACCAAACGGTTTAAAGAATCTCTTTATTTTAACTGCTTTCTAACGACAGTTTTAGATCTGGGAGAATGTTTATAATGCTAACCTAGTCTCCACATTTCCAAAAATGCTAAATTTACCGTCTTTTCCACTGATTTTCACAGTTAGCTTATAAAACCGGCAGTTTGAAAATATTTTAAATATTTAACTTAATCCTTTAAAATAGCTCACTTCATAGATAACTTGTCTTTGTCCACGTCACTAGAAAACAATATGTCACAACTGAGATCACACCTAGATCATGTTGAGTGCCCTGAAAGCTGTCCTTAGTTTTTATCACAAAACTTCTCATCGGGAGTTTTTGCCAGCATATTACTGAATGATGCCCTCGAGATACTGGCGTTTTTTATTTCCTTTAATCTACGTTAATATTGCTAAAAGTAAGATAAAAGACTAACGTTCCCTTCAAATGAATGAGAATCCAAAAGGTGCACAAGACACTAGCGTATCAATCCTATGAAAGGGAATTGGCGAAATACTGACGTTCCTTTCCAAAGCAGGAGTATCCTAAAGATGTGCGAGATACTAACGTAACAATCCAATTAAAGAGGATCCTAGACGTGCACCAGAAAATAAAATACTAATCCTATGGAAGAAATTGATTAAAGGGAGAGAGTTACTGATGTAACTATTCCATGAAAGAGAATTTAAAGATGCATGAGATACTAACATAAAAAGCCAATAAACGAGAATCCTAAATGTGTGCGAGATACTAACGTAACAATCCAATGATAGAGAAGTCTTAAAGTGTGCGAAAAGCTAAAGTAACAACCGAACGAGAGAGAATCCTAAAAATGCGCGAGATACTAAGTAACAATCCAATAAAAGAGAATCCTAAAAATGCGCAAGCTACCAACGTAACAATCCAATAAATGAGAAACCTAAAAGTGCGTAAGATGCTATCGTAACAGTCCGATAAAAGAAGAATCCTAACAAAGCCTAAGATACTAACAAAACAATCTGATGAAAGAGACTCCTAAAAGTGCGCGAGATACTAACAAAACAATCCGATGAAAAAGAATCCTGAAAGTGCGCAAGATATCAACGTAACAATCCGATGAAAGAAAATCCTAAAGTCCGCGAGATACTGACGTTACGATCCAATTAAGGAGATTCCTAACAGTGTATAAGACACTAACGTAACAGTCTGATGAAAGAGAATCCTGAATGTGTACAAGATACCAGCGTAAAAATCCAATAAAACAGAATCCCAACAGTGCGCAAGATACTAACGTAACAATCCAATGAAAGAGAATCCGAAAAATTGCGTAAGATACTAACGTAACAATCCAGTAAAAGAGAATCCAAAAAATGCGCAAGTTACTAACGTAACAATCCAATGAAAGAGAATCCTAAACGTGTGTGAGATACTAACTAGCAATCCAATGAGAGAGAATCCTTAATCTGTGCAAGATACTAATGTAACAATCCAATGAAAGAGAATCCTAAACGTGCGCGAGATACTAACGTAACAATCTAATGAGAGAGAATCCATAATCTGCGCGAGATACTAACGTAACAATCTAATGAGAGAGAATCCTTAATCTGCGCAAGATACTAACGTAACAATCCAATGAAAGAGAATCTTAAACGTGCGCGAGATACTAGCGTAACAATCTAATGAGAGAGAATCCATAATCTGCTCAAGACACTAACGTAACAATTCGATGAAAGAGAATCCTAAACGTGCGAGAGACACTAACGTAACAATCTGATGAAAGAGAATCCTTAATCTGCGAGAGACACTAACGTAACAATCTGATGAGAGAGAATCCTTAATCTGCGCAAGATACTAACGTAACAATCTAATGAGAGAGAATCCTTAATCTGCACAAGATATTAACGTAATGATCCAATGAAAGAGAATCCCTAATCTGCGCAAGATACTAACGTAACAATCCAATGAAACAGAATCCCTAATCTGCGCAAGATACTAATGTAACAATCCAATGAGAACGAATCTTTAATCTGCGCAAGATACTAACGTAACGATTCGATGAAAGAGAATCCTAAACGTGCGTGAGATACTAATGTAACAATCCAATGAGAGAGAATCCTTAATCTGCGCAAGATACTAACGTAACAATTCGATGAAAGAGAATCCTAAACGTGCACGAGATACTAACGTAACAATCCAATGAAAGAGAATCCTTAATCTGCGCAAGATACTAATGTAACAATCCAATGAAAGAGAATCTTAAACGTGCGCGAGATACTAACGTAACAATCTAATGAGAGAGAAACCTTAATCTGCGCAAGATACTAACGTAACAATCCAATGAAAGAGAATCTTAAACGTGCGCGAGATAATAACGTTACAATCTAGTTAAAGAGAATCTTTAATCTGCTCAAGATACTAACGTAACATTCCGATGACAGAGAATCCTATATGTGCGCGAGATACTAACGTAACAATCTAATGAGAGAGAATCCTTTATCTGTGCAAGATACTAACGTAACAATCTAATGAGAGAGAATCCTTAATCTGCGAAAGATATTAACGTAATGATCCAATGACAGAGAATCCCTAATCTGCGCAAGATACTAACGTAACAATCCAATGAAATAGAATCCTTAATCTGTGCAAGTTACTAATGTAATCTAATGAGAAAGAATCCCTAATCTGCGCAAGATACTAATATAACAATCCAATGAAAGAGAATCCTAAACGTGCACGAGATACTAACAAAACAATCTAATGAGAGAGAATCCCTAATCTGTGCAAGATACTAACGTAACAATCCAATGAAAGAGAATCCTAAACGTGCGTGAGATACTGACGTAACAATCCAATGAAAGGGAGTCTTTAATCTGCGCAAGATACTAACGTAATAATTCAATGTGAGAGAAATCTTAATCTGCGCAAGATATTAGCGTAACAATTCGATAAAAGAGAATCCGAAATGTGTGCAAGCTACTAACGTTACAATCCAGTGAGAGAGAATCCCTAATCTGATCAAGGTACTGATGTAACAATCCAATGAGAGAGAATATCCTTAATTTGTGCAAGATACTAACGTAGCAATTCGACGAAAGAGAATTCTAAACGTGCGCGAGATACTAACGTAACAATCCAATGAAAGCGAATCTTTAATCTGCGCAAGATAATAGCGTAATAATTCAATGAGAGAGAATCCTAAATTTGCGCAAGATACTAACGTGGCAATTCGATGAAAGAGAATCCTAAACGTGCGCGAGATACTATCGTTAAAATCCAATGAAAGAGAACCTTTAATCTGCGCAAGATACTAACGTAACAATCCAATGAGAGAGAGTCCTTAAGTTGGGCAAGATACTAATACAGCAATTCGATGACAGAAAATCCTAATCGTGCGCGAGATACTAACGTTACAATCCAATTAAAGAGAATCTTTAATCTGTGCAAGATACTAGCGTAATAATTCAATGTGAGAGAATCCTTAATCTGCGGAAGATAACGTAACAATCTGATGAGAAAGAATCTTTAATCTGCGCAAGATATTAACGTAACAATCCAATGAGAGAGAATCCTTAATCTGTGCAAGATGCTAACGTAACAATCCAATGAGAGAGAATCCTTAATCTGCGCAAGACACTAATGTAACAATCCAATGAAAGAGAATCCTAAACGTGCGCGAGATACTAACG